TTTTTATACAAAAGACTAAAACCAAGATGGCTGCCCAAAACAACACTGGTACTCGGTTATGAATGAAACTCTTATGGATTAATTGTATTTGTTTAGGTGCTGTTGCACATGTTGTTTGAGCATGCGTCCGGCTACGCGTTGTTTGTCGTGAAAGAGGTGGAGGAGATCAGCATGCTGCTGCCCCAGGTGGGTTTTATTGCCTCACTGCTACTTGGTTTGGCATTATTATGGGAGACTCATCGCCGAGTGTATGTTTCAGGTGGAGCAGTGTGTGCTGAGTCTGGCTAAATTCAATAGTATGGTGAGCCTGGCTGCCTTTTTCCCCTTTAAATCAGCACAATCTGCCCTTGAGAACATTAATGCCATTTCTGAAGGTAAGCTTTCTTTCCTTAAGTTTCTTGAAATGTATTGACTGATTCAGAATTCTTGTAAGCACGTTTCTCCCATCCGTTATTGTTTTTACTGCCCTCGGGTGTGGTGATGTTTTCAAATCTGTCAATCCACTGAAAGACTGTGATGACAGCCTTATGTTCAACCTGAACATCCGAGGGTACGATTATGCTAGCCGGTGTTTTTGTTGAGCCGTCATTCAACATTTGATTCATATGGAATGCCATTCAGCAAAATCTTACTGGAAACATCCCCGGTGCATGCGAAATGTTAAAATGACAAAGAATGTAACTGTCATTTGTAGAGACTAAAGCCCACACAAAGATTCTTAACAACCTTGGCTGATTTTTAAAAGGAAGTACTTCTTTACCCCAAACCAGAAGTTAGCTGTAATACCCAGACTGACCTGTGAGAGGCAGTGTGGCGCCACAGGGCATCCAGGCTGCCTTGAAATAAAAACAAGAACTTGAGCTGCTTATAGTAGTTAATCTGTGAACTGCATTGCAGTTGCTAACTATTTGTTGTTATTGTTATGATGACTTGAGACATTATGCAAATATATCAATTACTATCCAGTTATATTTAAACACATCATTGGGTTAATGTCTTTATG